CTGCCAATCACGTGGGTGAGTGCAGGGAGACCTGGTCCAGGGCCCTTCCTGGAGTGCGTGGAGGGGAGCGGAGAGCAGGACCCCGTGCGCCCCTGACTCAGCACCGACACAGACCCCTGCAGCTCAGCCCTGTCCTGAGTGTCGGGTGGGTACAGGCCATGGGTAGACACTCAGGCCATGGGTAGACACTCTGTGTCTCCTGCCCTAGGGGAACACCAAGAAGAAGAAAATGATTCTGTGAGGAACCTGAAATAAAGCCAGCTCCTAACCCAGGCATCTCCCTTGAAGACTAGAAAATCACTGTACTCTAGGGATGCCACATAAAGAGGACACACACACACACACCCATCATTGACTATTTAACAAGAAGTGAGAGAGCACCTCTCCTGAAGTTCTTGCCTGGTAACCAAATTTTATGTGTATGACATCGCATACAGCACACCCACTGAATTACCAGCTGGTTTACTTGGTGACTCCTAACTGAGTGGCAGGGTCCCTGCCAGATGCCACAGCCTCCCCTTTCTCAGGAAGTCCACAATACTACTAGCCCAGGTCTTTTCTGGCTAACTTTTTCTGAGCTCCTATGTGGCTAGATGAGGACATTCAGGCATCTTATCTTAACTGGGAACATGTTCCTCCTCTCCTGTCTGTAACTGTAATAGAGCTCTCTCATTCTAAATTCAAACTAAATTTAGCCTAATCTGGATCTATGCTATAAATGATGCTATTGCCCAAGATACCAAAATTATCTGCAGACAAAATTCAACAGTGTTGCATTCAAAATACATGTGACTCCTTAGAAGAGTTTCTGTCTCTCCTGTTATCTTACTTACAGCTCAGGGGAAACCTTTGGCCAAGAAATAGTCAAGATGCTATTGGGTATGAAGGAGAAAAAAAAAAGCTGGAAGGACATACATTAAAATATGAATAATAGCTACTTCTTGGGGTTGGATTATGAATTATATCTTTTTTTCTCTGCTTGTTTATGCTTCTGTGAACTCGGACTAATTGTTTGGAATTAACATATCTTGCTTTTGTATTCTAAAAATGCAAAGCCACAGCACAAAAGCCTAACTGCATAGGCTGAGTTTTGCTTCTGATATTTAAGTTCAGTTACACAAGCTATTTTTCTGCACCACTTGTTGATTTTTGTGGAATAAGGCAGCTTGCAGTACAAGACTTAGATGCCTGGGTTCAGTCCCAGTCCTTCTCCTAATGACTGGCTGACCTTAGACTTGGGTTTAACCCTTCATGAGAAGGTAGGACACATAACTCCAAGGATGCTCCTGTGCAGACTGGTCTCTGAACAACTTTATAACTAAAAAAAAACAGTTACAAAATCTATGTTCAAAATCTTTTCAAAGTGAGTCCCAGTTTTTTTCACACGTTCTTTGGTGCTGAGATCCCAGCCTGCCATGTAAAAGCACAGCATTAGCTAAGACGTACTCGGCTAGGTATCGTGCCTGGGAGGTTGTTTATTCTCATCTGTTCATGTCTTTTCTTGGGCATCTTAACTCCATTTTGGTACCCAGCACCCTGCGTTGCTAGGGTCAAGTTTGACCATTGCAGGCCTATCCTAAAGTTGTCTTACTTCAGCCAATAGACGCCCCAAAGCAGAGTGTTTCTTTTCCCCCAGCCTTAGTATATTTTAGTTTAATAAATAACTGGGCCAAGCTTCTGGGATAAACTGGCGTAGCCACACACAGCAGATCATCACATGCATGTCACTGTCACTACTAAAATCATAGGAAGATAAAAATAAATTTGAATTTCTATGGCTTTCCATATATAAATATTTTATGCCTCTATGTTTCACAAGTAAATACATAAATGAACAAACATTTCCCTGTGATTTCCAAAATTTGGCCACTTCAAATCCAACAATTTTGCTGTAGCTCTCCAATTACTTTGTGTGATGTTTTACCAGCGAGAGAAATTGTTGGTTCTTCTGAAGTTGCTAGAAAAACAAGCATTTGATACTCAGTGAGCAGCCTGCCACTCTCGTGTCTGATACCGATGGGTATTCTGGTGCTCCCGGCGGCCCTGACACTGAACCACACGGCTCCATGGTCTCCCGAAGTCCAAGACTCTACCCAGCACGGCCAGAGGGTCTGGGAAACTCCTAACCTCCTCCCGCTGAAGGCACGGCAGACCTGGCTGGTGCCTGCACAGCTTGCCTGGTGCAGGAGGGCTGAGTCTGCTAGAACGCCCGGGGAGGAATGGTACAAACCTTCGCCGCTTGGTGCAACCCCAGCCTTATCTCCCCTCAGAAACCACCATCAATCGTCTGTCTCCCTTGGCCAGTATTTTAGGTGTTCTTTCCAGTATGGCCCTTACCCCATTGATGCCATTTGCTTTCTTTGTGTGTGTCCCCATTATGTCACAGAAAAAATCGAGCTCCCAAACAGCACCAGCACGGAAGTTGAAATGACGCCATCCAGTGATGCTTCAGAGCCCGTGCAGAACGGCAACCTCTCCCACGGCATTGAAGCTGCGGAGGCCCAGGTACAGCTTCTGGTCATGGCCTTTCTGGGCTGCTGGGGTTGGTTTTGCGTGTGATGTCCTAGTAGAGTGGTCCGGAGCCCACCTTCTCCCTGGAGCCCAGCTCCCAGCGGGGAGGACCCAGGCCAGGTCTTACTTGTTCGTGTATGTACTTCCCAGCACCAGCCCAGGACCCTGCGTGCGTCACACTCTCCATGTACTGAATAAATACACATATTCTCTGAACCAGGGTTTCTCGGGGTGAGGTTGGAGGACTCAAGCATCAAATCATAAAAATATAGATCCTGCCCCCTCCGGTGTGTCCAGTGGTTAGAGCTTCAGCCACGCACCAAAGGATCGCGGGATGGATTCTCGGTCCAGGGCATGTACCTGGATTGCAGGTTCATTCCCCAGCCCCGCTTGGGGTGTGTGTGGGAGGCAATTGATGTGTGCCTGTGCCTCTCACATTGATGTTTCTCTCTCTCTCTCTCTCTCTCTCTCTCTCTCTCTCTCTCTCTGCCTCCCTTCCACTCTCTCTAAAAATCCATGGGGAAAAAATAGCCTCAGGTGAGGATTAATAACAACAACATGGAGATTCCCTGGACCTGATGAAACAGGATCCCTGGGAAGCAGCATTTTTGGACTTGCTTCCCAGGTGATTCATAGTGCATGATCAAGTTAGATAGCTGCTGTGGTCTGATCTTTTCTCTGTCTTTAAGGTCAGGATTACGTAACAGAGACACCACAGGAACCACACCTCCATGAGCCCTGTTTGGGCTCCTGCAGCTGAAAGTAATCAATATTGTCTGCCCTGATCGACCATTCAGCGGTGCAGCCAGGGGACAGCTGTTTGACCTGGTGGTTATACCCTGTGCCACAGATGTGGTGCTGGGCACTTTATATGTGTTCTCACCTTTAAAGCCCACAGCCGAACCCTAGCCAGTTTGGCTCAATGGATAGAATGTTGGGCTGTGGACTTGAAAGGTCCCAAGTTCATATGCCCGGGTTCAGGGCTCGGTCCCCAGTGGGGGGCGTGCAGGAGGCAGCCAATCAGTAATTCTCTATCATCATTGATGTTTCTATCTCTCTCTCCCTTCCTCTCTGAAATCAATAAAAATATTTTTTTAAAAATAAAAATAAATAAAGCCCACAGCCAAAGCTAGTCATTTAGTGTCTCCATGTTAGATGTGTTTGAGAAAGCTAAAGCTTCGCAAGATGAAGTAGTTACCCAGGATTACCTCGCTTGTAGGTGGCAGAGCTGAGATCTGATCTCAGGACTGTCCAAATATAGCACCTGCACTGCTTCCACCACGCAGCTCTGCCTCAGTACCGCAGTGGCTCAAAAAAAGCAGGCAGAAAGGAAAAGTAGGTGGTACTTGTCAGGTCTCTGGGTTTCATCTGGAATTTCTGAGGCATGGAGTCCCAAGCTCGCATTTTAATCAGGCACCTAGGCGGGTGTTTCTCAAACTTTAATATGCTTCCTGGGGGATGGTGTTAAAATTCAAATCTGCTGTTCTAACAAGCTCCCCGCGATCCTGATGTTGCTGGTCGAAGGACCACACTGAGTAGCACTATGCTAACGTCTGAGACCCACTTCTCTAGACAGGACTTTCCCAGTGAGCTGAAAAGCTTATGGTGCCCTCCGAGGAGCCCAGCTGCGGTGATGCAGCCCAGCACGCTCTTCCCCTGCATCCCAGGATGCACTGCGGCAGAGGGGCCTGCACTTAGGAAACGTGCTAATGCAAGGAAAGCCTCTTCGCATAAAGGAGAGTAAAGATGTGGAGCATATGTCATATACCTATTGGTCATTTGAATGTCTTCTTTGGAAAGATATCTATTTAAGTCCTTTGTCTATTTTTTAACCGGGATTTATTTTTAACTTTTTCTATTGAGTTGTAGGGGTTCCTTATATATTTTGGATATTAACCCCTTAAAAATATACGCCTTGCAAACATTTTCTCCCATTCCATAGGTTGCCTTTTCATTTTGGTAATTGTTTCCTTTGCTGTGCTTTTCACAATAAATACTTAAATCTTCACATCATACATGTTAAATATATAGGATTTTATTTGTCAGTGATGCCTCATGAAGCTGGGAAAATCAATAACTAAAGGAAAGGATAAGGAAGCAGCAGCTCTTTCTGCCCTTGTCTCCTCTGCCTCTGGGCTCTCACCCTCCTGCCCAGAGCCCTGTGGTCCCTCCGCATTAGCTCAGGGGTGAGCTGGCAGAGCGGCTTATGTCCACATGGATAAGCAGCATGTGGCAGCAGGAGCAAGGCCCCAAGGACATCTGGTTGCCCTTGGTGACGGCACAGTCACAGGTGTGTGGAGGGCAGCCGGGTTGCTGTGCCTCTCCATCTGGCTGGCAGAGGGACGTCTGTGCCCCCCACAAGGGAGCACCTTGCAACAGGGAAGTGAGAGAATCCCAACTGATCACTCTCTGAGCAAAGCTACAGCCCCCAGGTCTCACACAGGGAAACAGGACAGATCTGTTTCCCCTGATATGCTGAGAGCTCAAGGACAAAGAGCCACGACAGGCTGGCTGCCGAGCGACCTGGTAGTGAATTCCAGATCCACCAAGTTACCTAACCTCACGTTAGTTTCTTCATCTGCAAAGTACAGATAATAATAGTACCTGCCTCGTTAGGGT